GCTGAAGATGATGATGATGATGATGATGATGATGAGATGATTGATGCTGATGATGATGGATGATGATGATGATGATGATGATGATGATGATGATTGATGATGATAGGGAGGAGGAGGAGAGAGAGGAGGAGGAGGAGGAGGAGGAGGAGGAGGGAGAGGGAGGAGGAGGAGGAGGCCGAGGGGGAGGAGGAGGAGGAGGAGGAGGAGGAGGAGGAGGAGGAGGGGAGGAGGAGGAGGGGAGGAGGAGGAGAAGGAGAGGAGGAGAGGAGGAGGAGAGGAGGAGGAGGAGGAGTAGGAGGAGGCGGAGGAGGAGGAGGAGGAGCGAGGAGGAGGAGGAGGAGGAGGAGGAGGAGGCGGAGGAGGAGGGAGGAGGGGAGGAGGCGGAGGAGGAGGAGGAGAGGAGGAGCGAGGAGGAGGAGGAGGAGGAGGAGGAGGAGGAGGAGGAGGAGAGAGGAGGAGGAGGAGGAGGATGAGGAGGAGGCGGCGGAGGAGGAGGAGGAGGAGGAGGAGGAGGAGGAGAAGGATGCGCAGGAGGAGGAGGAGGAGGAGGAAGAACAAGGTTCTTCCTGGGCTCCGGCCCACCCGCCGTGCTCTTCCTAAGGGCCGTCCTTCTGGACGTATGTGGCGGCGCCGCGCCTCGCCTCGCCTCCCCCGGAGGGGCGGGGGAACCCCCCGCGGCCCCGCGCGCACGCGGCCGTCCCTCCGGGAGAGGCTACCGCGGGTTCGAGCCGCTGGCCAGCCCGGGCTGGGCGTGCGGGGGGCACAGCGGCCCCCGCGATCGACCAGGCCGCCCGACCCAGACCCCCCCCCCTTGAGCAATGAAGGAGTCATGACGGCAGTTGTTTTTGGGGCCCTTGCCGGGCCACGGGACCGTCAAAGGAGGACTCGGGATGAAAAACCGGTCCTGGGGGATGGGTCGAGGCCTCGGGGGTAGACGTTCGGAAAACGTCGTGGCGTCGGGGGTTTGGGGAGCGGGTTGCGCGAGGCGATGGGGACGGCGCCGCAAAAAGCAGGCGAGCTTACCCGCGTCAAGTCTCCCCGCAGAAGTTTCCCCGGGGACGTTTCCCCGAGAACAGTTTTTACTCGTGGTGGGTTGACCCGCGGGCAAGGTTGCCCAGGCCAGTTTGCCTTGCCCCTGGTTAGCTTCCCCAAAGTAGTTTGCACGGGGGAGATGCACTGGGGGGATGGTTACCTGTAGGAAGTTCGCCCGCGTTTTGTATAGTTTGTTCCAAGTTTTTGTCGTTGTGGTCACCCGCCGGTGAACTTCCACCCGCAGGTGAAAGAGTCGCCCTCCGGCGCCGCACCTGTAATACGGATCATTGCACGAGTATAAACTTCCGGAGGTCCGCGCGCATTTCTTGGATCTGCGGTGGACCTTCCCTAGCGGCGCCTCTGGCGCCGCCGCCACTGGCCTGCTCCGCGTGCCAGGGAGGAGGGTCCAATGTAGATCCAAGAACTGCGCGCGGACCTTCAATCCTTGTGTGATTACAGTGGAGACCCATGCCAAGAGACACCCTGTTTGCCTCCAGGGTGCCTTGGGTTTCTTGGGTTCTATGGCTTTGCGATGGAAAGCGTGGCGTTCCCACACCAAAACTCAAGGGACGTTCTAGGGTCTCAGGGTTGGGTTTCTTGTGGGAGGTTTCTTGTGGACTGGCCTCCACCGGATGCAGTTTGTCCCTTCTGGGCTCAATCCAGAGTCGCCCATGTATCGGCGATGCGGCGCGATCCTCCGACCTCGTCTGCTCCAACCCCATGTGGGCGGGCCTCTGGATCGGGATCCTTGCCCTCGTCGTCGTCGTCGTCCTCAGCCGTCGCTCGTCGTGGTCGTCTTGGTCGTCGGTCGCCGTTGGTCGTTGTCGCCGTCGTCGTCGTCGTCGCCGTCGCCGTCGCTCGCATTGTCGCTCAGCGTTTATCGTTCGTCGCTCGTCGTCCGTCGCCGTTGTCGTCGCCGCCACCGCGGTCGTCGGTTGTCGGTCGTCCTTCGTCGTTCGTCGTTCTTCGTGGCCGTCCTCGTGGTTATGGTCGTCGGTCGCCATTCGTGCTTGTCGTCGTTGCCGTCGTTGTTGCCCGTTTTGATCGTCGGTCGGCGCTCCTCCTTTGTCACTTGTGGTCGGGTCGCCCGTCGTGTGTCGTCCTGGTCGTCGCCGGCACACGTCTCCGCCTTTGTCCCAGACCCTGATCTAGCGAGCGGGGCCGCAGCTCATGCTCTTAGCCGCGCGGAGCGGAGTTGGCGCTACTGTGGAGTCGGGCGTGTCCATCTACAGAAGAAAGATTCAGAAGCGGTCGACAAAACAGTCTCGTGACGATGTTGCTATTATTTTCGACTTGTTTCGAGCATTGTTTGGCTATTTTTTATGTTTCGTCCCAAATCTGACTGTAGGGGGACATGCACGGCCTACTGCTACTGTATTTGGCTTCGATGTGTTTCCTGCACTTCTCTTTCCACTTCTTTCGGCGTCTCCTTTGCCTCCTCTCCCCTCTCCCCCCGTTGCTTTTGCTTTTGCTGCACGTCCTGCGCTTGCTCTGGCTGCCGGGAAGTTGCACTGGACGGTTGGACATGGCAAAACGGTCGACAATTTGAGAGTGCTGTCGAGGTTCGCAGTGGACTTGATAATGCGCGCAGTCGACGTGCACGCGCCGGAATGAGCGAAGAGGGAGGACCGCGTGCGCTGCGATGATTCCTTTGCCTTCGATGGTGCGTGTTCTCTTCTGGTCTCCGTGATATTCCACGGTTGCAGCAAGTCGGAATCGTGCAGGCGCTGGGACGAACGAAGAGGGAGGACCGTGCGCGCTGCGATGATGCCTTGGCCTTCGATGGTGCCGTACTCTTTGTCGGTCTCCGCGCTATCCCACGATTGCAGCAACTCCGACTCGTGGTCCGCGTCGGGCGGCGTGCAGGCGCTCTGCGATGTGAAGCCTCCTCCTCCTCCTGCTGCTGCTGCTGCTCCTCCTCCTCCTCCCTCTCCTCCTCCTCCTCCTCCTCCTCCTCCTCCTCCTCCTCCTCCTCCTCCTCCTCCTCCTCCTCCTCCTCCTCCTCCTCCTCTCCTCCTCATCCTCCTCCTCCTCCTTCTCCTCCTCCTCCTCCTCCCTCCTCCTCCTCCTCCTCCTCCTCCTCCTCCTCCTCCTCCCTCTCCCCCCCCTCCCCTCCTCCTCCCCCTCCCTCTCCTCCTCCTCCTCTCCTCCTCCTCCTCTCCTCCTCCTCCTCCTCCTCCTCCTCCTCCTCCTTCTCCTCCTCCCCCTCCCCTGATCACCTCCTGTCCCTGCGCCCCCTCTCCGGACCTCCTCGCCTCTCGTCGCTTCTCCTCCTCCCCCTCCCTCCCTGTTCCCCCCCTACACATTGTCCATCTCTACTTCTTCGAGAGTTCTTTGATTTTTTGGGGGCCAAGATACTTTTATTTCTAATTGTTCTATCCTGGGCCTCCTCCTGGCCACTAGGGGACCAGGAACAATTAGAAACGGGCACAATTAGAAATGAACGCGATTAGAAATGAACGACGTTTACCTCTCCTCACTCGGAGTCCTCCTCGCAGTCTCGAAGAGGGCTCCGCCTTCGAGGGACCGACCAGTTGGCATCTCCTCACAGTGCGGAAGGCGGCGGAAGGCCGGTGGAGGCTGGCCGAAGCAAAGTGCGCAGGCGGACGCACGAATCGCCGCTCCCCCAAGCAAGTACACAATTTGTTACTGGATCTCAGGACTTCCCGAGCGGGCCATCCGTTTCCCTGTGTACCTTCCCCACCCGTGCCGTGTCTTGTGTTAGCCCGGCGCGCCCACTATATACTGATTGTGGTTTCGGCCTTCCCGTCGGACGAGGCTTCTCGGCGATGCAGTTCTGAAGGAAGTTGTGTGCTTGGTGGCCTCCCTCTTGCCCGTGCGGCGCCCCTCTTCTGGCCCCGCCGGCGTCCCCGATCCTGTCCCCCGGCAGTGGACGAGCGTGCTCGGCACACTCTTGAGAGCCCGTCTGCAGTCGGGGCCCTGAAGAAGGAACCCTTTTCGTCGGGGAGGGGCTCCGCGCTCCTCAAGTGTTTCGCAGCCTGCCTCGGGCTCTCCTTATGTTTTCGATGGGAACTCGAAGGTTCATTTCTGGAAACAAAAGGGGCCTCCTTCCCTATTTAGGGTTCCTTAGGTCAACGCCCCGACGGTACTCTTTGTCGGTCTCCGCGCTATCCCACGATGGCAGCAACTCCGAATCGTGGTCCGCGTCCTGCGGTGTGCAGGCGCTCTGCGAGGGTCGACGCCCGGCTCCATGGGTCCAGCACCATGTGAAGCCTCCTCCTCCTCCTCCATCCTCCTCCTCCTCCTCCTCCTCCTCCTCCCCCTCCTCCTCCTCCTCCTCCTCCTCCTCCTCCTCCTCCTCCTCCTCCTCCTCCTCCTCCTCCTCCCCCTCCTTATTTAGGGTTCCTTGGGGCAACGCCCCGACGGTGCTTGCACGGCGGCAGAGGGTCGGCGGTTCAGGGGAACCCTGACGAGAGGCGCGCGGGGCCGACGCGATGACGAAGCGGCGGCTGCGACAGACCCGGGCGGCGTGCATCCTTGATTCAGCGAGCGAAGAACGGTATAACACAAACTTCTTCGCCGTCGGGGACACCTGCCCCAGGGCGGCTGGAAAGTTTATACCCTTACGGTGTCACCGTAGGGGTATAAACTTTCCAGCCGCCCTGGGGCAGGTGTCCCCGACGGCGAAGAAGTTTGCTTTATACCGTTCTTCGCCCGTTAAATGATGGTCCTGCGTTGAGGAATTCATCACCCTCTCTGGCCAAGCGGCGGGCGGGCGAGGCATGTTTGGCGTTCGAGGACGTCTGAGCCGGTGCAGCTCGACTCCCGTGCGTCCGCGGCGCGACGCGACGCGCGCCTGCGGGCGAGCTTTTCTCTCTTTCACAGCCACCTCTGCTCCCTCTGGTTCTCGCCCGCCTCCTGGCATCCGTGACCGCTTGGGCCCAAGGCTCGGCACCCGTTCGCAGTCTGGAGGTCTGGTCGGGTGACTCGAGCTGCTGGCGATCGACATGGCCGCCCTCCGCCTCATCGCAGCGATCGCCGCCGTCCCCGTCGCCTGCAGGGCGTCGCTGCTGCACAGAGGCGCGCAGGCACCCGACCTGGTGGCTACCAAGGAGCAGCTCCTGAAGTCTCCCGTCTTCCAGGAGAAGATCAACCAGACCTGCGGAGGTGCCGAGGAGCGCAACCAGCAGGCGTTCGAAGAACAAACAACTGCATAAGCATAAGCTCTTTGCGCTCCGCGCGGATTTCTTGGATCCGCGCTGGCCCACCTGGCGGCGCCTCCGGCGCCGTCCCTGGCGCGCTCCGCGGGGCCCAGCGCGGATCCAAGAAATACGCTCGGAGCGCCAACAGCTCCTTTTTGTGCCATGTATTCTTCTTCTAGGCGTGCGCCTCGAGGGCTGCGGAGGGGCTGTTCTGCCAGCTGCTGGCGAGGCAGCAGCCGGAGCTCGCCAAGCAGGGAGGCTGCCACGGGGACGCGGTGCAGGCGAGGGTCCCGTCGTTCGTGCAGCTCCAGGCGAGCAAGGGTCCAGAGGATGACCTCGCCCAGGAGTCGGGCGCTCGGTTACGGTTATGATGTTCGAGCCTACTTTAACCTTGATCACCAGAAATACTTCCGAGCAGCAAGAAAATACCGACATTGGGGGGTTCTCACGTGTCGGGTCCTGGGATGCGATACTCGTTCGACACCTCTGGGTACTCGAAATTATGTCTGCGAGGTGGTCCTGAAGTATTGGGGCTGGACAGAACCCCCAACAGTGACACGTCGATTAGTGAATTGTCCGTTTTTGGTTCTCGAGAGGGCGCCGTGGCCGCTGTTTTCCAGACTTGCGCCCGCCAGGTTTGGGCCTCAGGTCGTTTTCACTAAACCACGTTTTGCTAAAGGGGGGCCTGTCAATCCCCGAAAGTACACCGGGAGCAGAACAAGGCTATTGGGGGGCAGTTGGTGGGGGGGGGGGGGGGATCGAGGATTGCAGCAGCATGGCCCTAACAGGGCCCTCGGCTGCCACCGCGGGCCCCGGAGGTGCTGGGAAGGTGCGCGCTGTCTCGCCCAGCTCTTATATTCCCCCCCCCCCGTGAGCGAGCGCTCGACAGGAGATGACGCACGACCTGGAGATGAATTTCAACAAGATCGCCCCGTTCGGCAAGGAGGACACCGCCAAGGAGCTCCAGGACCACGCCGCGAAGACGCAGGACACCCTGGTCGATGCCGTCGAGAACGCGGAGGTCGCGGAGATCAAGCGCGCCGTGTTCCGAGCCCTGACGCGTCTCCGCGCCGCGACGATTAAGGAGTTCGACACCATCGCCCGGCTCGAGACGCAGGCCATCGACGCCTACAACGACGCGCACCACTACCGCGCGGAGAACCCGCTGGCGCACCTCCACGAGGACGAGGCGCCCGTGGAGACCGACAAGCTCAAGTCCTTCCACTGAGCGGACGCCCGCGGGACCGCGCGCAGTCCGAGGGTCGAGCGTCTGATGAGTCCCTTCGCTCCGAGCGTTGCCGTACTGTAGAGCGGATGTTTGCCCCACCCCCCCCCCCCCCCAAAAAAAAAAAGATCACGGGCCCGGCGCGACCCCTCCCCCAAAAAGAGGTCACGGACCCGTTGCAGTGCAGTGCAGTGCAGTGCAGTGCAGTGCAGTGCAGTGCAGTGCAGTGCAAGGCAGTGCAGTGCAAGGCAGTGCAGTGCAGTGCAGTGCAGTGCAGTGCAGTGCAGTGCAGTGCAGTGCAGTGCAGTGCAGTGCAGTGCAATGGGCAGTGATGCAAACACAGCGCCATGCAACGCGATGCGTTGAACGGCAAGACTACGCAGGGCATTGACGCGGCGATGACATGAATAAGTTTAATGGCCATCAACATAAGTTCTAAGCTGAAAGGTTGCAGTTCCATCCCTGCGGCCCCCAAAAGGGGGGGCCCCAGACGGCCCTGTGGGGCACGACGCCTCCTCCTGCCGAGTCTATCCGATCCCCCCCCTCCCCGCCCTCTCCACTGCCGAGTCGATCCGAACCCCACTCCTGCCGATCCGGTCCCTTCCCTCCCACCCCTTCCCTCCCCCCTAACCTCCCCCGCTTCCCACCTGCCTCCCCCCCTGTCCCTCCCCGCCCCTTATCACCCCCGCCTTTTCCCCTCCCACCGCCCCTTCCCTCCCACCCTTCCCTTCACCCCCATCCCATCCCCCCCTATTCCCTCCCCACCTTCCCTCCCCCCCTTCCTCCCCCCCCACCCCATCCCTCCCCCCCCGCTTCCCTCCCCCCCTCCCCTTCGCCTCCCCCCTTCCTCCCCACCCCTTCCTTCCCCCCCTCCGATCCCTCTGTGGACTTCCCCGAGCGGTCCGAGCCCATGCGGCGCCTCCCCCTCTGCCGCCCTGCAGGGGCGGCCGCCCACGCCCGCCCCGCCCCCCCCCCTGGCAGCCCTAGTTCAAGCAGTGGCGAAGCGTCCCAGCTCGCCTATAGTCGGGCCGGACGAAAGGGGGGTATTTGGAAAGGGGGGGGTACGAAATTTGCTGCGTGCAGCTGGGTTCGGCCTCACCGAGGGGCCCATTTGTCGATACATTAGCCGCCTCCGGCGCTGGGAAGCGCGGGGAAAATCAGCTACGCGAGCTGATTCTCACCCCCGCCTTTGCTATCCCCCTCTTTCGCCCGACCCGATATAGACCTGCTAAAGAATCTTCTAAGAACCCTTTGTGGTCTGCGCGAAAGGTTCTTGGAGCATTCCTGGCTGAGACTGTCTTGTTTTGGCGCATGGGGCTCGTGTTCAAAGAAGATCGTTTTTGTTCTTGGAGCATTTTTGGGTTCTAAGGACATGTCGTGTTAGGCTTACGGGACTGCCGGGACGGTCCCTGCTCAACTAGTTCATGGGAGTAAAAGCCACCTAGACCCGACAATTGGCGTTTGCTAAGCAGCCCTGCCCTGTTCGATGCCTTCCCTGGGTGCGTTTACTAGACGGCTTCGCTCATCGGGGTGGGTTTTCCGCCCTCTACTATTAAGTCGGGCCTGTTCCCATACAGGAGGAATGTTCAAAAATAGCCAAAGCATAGTCTGGGGACGCTTTTCCGAATATGTCTGACTATTTTTGAGCATGTTTTGACTATTGTATATGTTTCGTCCAAAATCCGCCCGTAGGACACGCCCGACTTGTGTGACCCAAAACCAGGATAGCAGGGCGCCCGAAGGGCGTGGAGAGGCCTGGCGAAGCCTTCTGGAAGGACCTGGATAGAGCTTCCGAAGGACCTTCTGGAGAGCTTCCGGGCACGCGTACACTTTAGGCGATGTTTAAGAAAACTTGAGTTTTCGGCCAGAGTCTCAATTTTTCTTAACGTTTCAATGCAAATCTTAAGATGTGAATGGGAATGTTGGGTTTTTTATTCAAGTTCTGAGACTATGAATTTCTGAACCCATGATTTCTTAAGCATCTCGCATGGTGTACTGGGGAACGCTCAGTAGAAAGGGCCTGCCGGAGCACGCTGCGGGTTCAAGCAGGCCGCTCAGGGGGGCTCTGCCCGCCGCCGAAGCGCGCTCCGGGGGCCACCCTGCGGCTCCGGCCTCGTCATCTCAAACCCTCTTAGCCAAGGGCGCCCTCGAGGGCGCGAAGTTCTTCGCGCCTCGCGGCTCGGCTCCCAAATCCTTCCTCCTCCTCCTCCTCCTCCTCCTCCTCCTCCTCATCCTCCTCCTCCTCCTCTCCCCCTGGGAGGCGGCGCGAGAGAGCGCGAGAGCTAGTCGCACTGCGCGCGTCGCTCCGCGCGCAGAACGCCGAAGGCGGCGGAGGGCGAGGAGGGGGAGGAGGGGGAGGAGGGGGAGGAGGGGGAGGAGGAGGAGGGGGAGGAGGAGGAGGGGGAGGAGGAGGATGAGGAGGAGGAGAGATGAGGAGGAGGAGGAGGCGGAGGAGGAGGAGAGGCGGAAGGAGGAGGAGGAGCGGAGGAGGAGGAGGAGGAGGAGGAGGAGAACTTGGCTCCCCGCGAGCGATCCGGGGACCCGGCTCCGCCAGCCCGTGCCGGGGCGGCCTATCGGCGCCCCCGCGCCGCCGAGGCGCCGGCGCGGAGGTCAAGGGGGGCGGCGCGCACCCCGGCGCGCGCTGGCGGGGCGGCGAGGCGCCTCGCGCTGCCCGTCGTGTCCTCGTGATCTGCTCATCTCTCTCGTTCTCCCTAGTTTTTTTGTTTGTTCTCTCTCTCTCTCTCTTCTCTCTCTCTCTATTCTCTCTCTCTCTCTCTCTCTCCCTGAATATCTATCTGGTCTCTCTCTCTCTCTCTCTCTCTCTTTCTCTCACATTATTTATGTGCATTGTTCTGTCGTCTCTCTCTCTCTTTCTCTATGGATTTCTCTCTCTCTCTCTCTTCCCTCTCTCTCTCTCTCTCCCTCTCTCTCTCTCTCTTTCTTTGTTTGTTTTTCCCTCTCTCTCTCTCTCGCTCTCTCTCTCTCTCTCTCGCTCTGTTTCTCTCTTTCTCTGTCTCTCTCTCTCTCTCTCTCTCTCTCCCTCTGGGGTGTATATCTTGCTTTCTATGTCTATCTCCCGCTCGCTGCCGCTATCTAATGGCCTGCGGCCCGTCCCGCCACCGAGCCTGGGTTGTGGGTATGAAGCCTACTGGATGTTTGCTGGGATCACGTGGGAGCTCGGAGGCCTCTTGGAGGCAGCTTGGATGCCTCTTGCGGGCCGCTTTGGGGCATCTTTGGGGCCTCTCGGGGGCCTCTTGGGGGCCTCTTACGGGCCTCTTGGGAGCTTCTTGGGGCCTCCTGGGCGCCCTTTGGGGGCTCCTGCGAGCCTCTTGGGGCGGAAGGCTTGCATGTGCGGTTCGTGCTCACTCTCTTGGGGCCGTCCTGCATTGCAGGCCGCTTTTGAAAGCCCCTCCTGGCACGCGCCACCACTTCCCGGAGCCCACGGGGCACGCGACAAGGAGCCCCACGGGGCACGCGGGAAGCTTCCCGGGAATTCGAGTGCGAGGGGTCCGGGCCTCCTGTGAAAGCCTCCGCAGGAGCGGGGGGGGGTGAGGCTGAGAGGATCGGGCCCCGGGACCTGAGGACACGCCCATCCCGTGCTCAGCTCCGTGCCCGGAGGCGCGGTGGCGGATGCGAATTGCGTACGGGCTGTCCTAGTTTTTGGATTCCTCTCTGTCTCTCTATCTGTCTCTCTTTCTCGCCCTCTCTTGCTCTCTGTCTCGCTCTCTGTCTCTTTTGTTTCTGTCTCCCTCTCTTTCTCTCTATCCCGTTTCTCCTTCCCTCCCTTTTTCTTCATTGTTTATTATCTCTCGCTCTTGTGTTTCTCTCTCTCTCTCTCTTGTGCTTCTCTCTCTCTCTCTCAACCCCTCTTTGCTATGCCCCCATTCTCCCGTTCCGAGTACATTTGGAGGCAGGGCGGCGGCGACGACGACGGCTGCGACGACGTCTTCGTCGCTGTCTTCGTTGTCGTGTCCGTCGTTATCTTCGTTGTCGTCGTCATCATAGTCATTGTTGTCTTCGTTGTCGTCGTTGTTGTCGTTGTCTTCGTTGTCGTCGTTGTCTTCGTATCGTTGTCGTTGTCGTTTTCGTTGTTTTCGTCCTCGTTGACGTCGTCGGCGTCGTCGTTGTCGTCTTCGCTGTCGCCTTCATCGTCGTCACCTTTTGGGGGTCTTGGAGGCGCTTCTGGGGTTTCCCCTTGCCACGGACAGATGCGGCTCGGGAAACTGGCCGGGGGCCCTGGGGGACGGGTCTGGGGCCCGATTTCGAGCCGACTGGTCAGAGGCGGGGCAAGTGCTCAGGCACTCGATGCCCGTTCATGGGAGCCTTGGGCGGCGACAGTGAAATCAGCTGTTCCTGCATTTGGGCTGCATTTGGACAGTATTTGACTCTTCCTCCTGCTCCTCCTGGCCCTTCCTGTTCCTCCTCCCGCGCGGTGTCTTAGATGCCCGGCTCTTTGGAGTGATCCTGTGACCGAGCCCATGGTCGAATGTGCTGGGTCAAGCAAGACCTGGCGAGGAGCGCTCGATTGCAGCAGGGGCCACGCTGTGGCCCACACGCGCCTTCTGAGCATGACATGTAGTCGTCTGTGTATGGCTTGCACCACGTGCGGGGCCTACGCACAGCGCCGCTGCTTTCTCTCCTTGGCTGGGGACTGCCCGTCGCGTGAGATTCCGGGAGCCCCGACAGCCCTTCGTCGCACGTGTGCTGGGCTGCACCCCCCTTCCGGGGCTCGCTTCGATTCCTCCGGTTCGAGTCGATTCCATTCCGATGGCCTCCGATGCCGACTCGACTCGTCTGCGGATTCCGATCTGGGCCCCGATGCCTCCCTGGAGGCCCGTGAGCCTGCCGATCTCCGCCAATGCGACTCCTCCCGGCTCGGCTGCCGAGCTCCGCCGATGCGCTTCCTCCCGATCGCCGAGCGGACTCGTCGACTCGGGCCCGGGGCACTCTCCTGCCCTGCTCCCTCCCGAGGAGACCCGGCCCGAGGAACCCGAGCACTGCAT